AACATATATAAATAATATATACCGTATTTCTTCACCTATAAGCCGAGCGATTTTTTCAGTTTTCGACCCAAAATTTTGGGAGATTTTTCACGGAGAACGGGGTTCGGCTTATAGCCGAGGGTTTTACATTTTAAAAATATACAGTTGCTGAATAACTTTACCCCCCCGGCTTGTAGTCAAGTTAGCAATGAAGCAGAAGTAATAAAACACAACAAAAATAACTTCTGAATATTGGTTATTCACTTTTATGAAATTGGTGGCTCCTAAAGGAGCCGTTTGACGGATACGTGCAAGGGCTTTCAACCCAATGGTTTACTCGCCATCCGTTTCGTTTTCGCTGTCTGTGTCGAACTCGTTCTCTTCTATGTATTCATCATCTACTTCTGGGGTTTCCTCAGAGTAGACCACGTCGTCCTCTGTTCCGTCCAAGGCATTGGAAATACCGCAGGTCTTGAAGGATTTGACAACCATCTCTTCGGGTATCTCTGCCCATGCTTCCTTGATCCACCTGAGGACAAGATTTCTGCTTGGCGCCTTCTTCTTCCCAGCTGGGGTAAACTCAAATGGCCCAGATGTCATCCACGCCAAGTACTTTCGGCGCACATTATCTTTAAATGGCTTGTTTAGGCACTTATCCAAGGGCTGTACAACCGGGGTTAGGCCACCAGGGATAACTGCGACGTCAATGTTTCGCTGCTTCAGGTCATCTTTCACGGAATCGGTCAAGTGAGCTCGGAATGAGTCCCACACCAAAAGGGAACGCTCGGCACGGGGCAAACTCTGTCGAATCCATTCTCGGATGCCCTGTTCATCCATCCACCCTTTCTTATGGAAGGAAACACGAAGAGGATGCGGCACAACCAGATCTCTCGGTGTACGGACGCCTTTGAAGATGACTTTCGGTGGCACCTTTGCTCCATCGGCAGCAACAGCAAGAACGACGGTGAAGCTCCGCTTTTCCGCTCCGCAAGATTTTACTGGCACTGTTCGGCTTCCACTGAATTCCAGTGTTCGGTTCGATGGCAGCTCAAAACGCATGGGTGTCTCATCCATGTTGTAGATGCGGGATAAAGGGTAGTCGGCGCGTCTTCTTGCTGCAATGACGAAGCGATGAAAGCACACAATGTTCTCTTCGAGATCGGCGGGCAATCGCTGGGCCAGAGTTGTTTTGGTTCGCATGCTGACCGAGTGGCGTCGTTTCCATTTCTCGTACCATCCACGGGAAGCTTTGAAAGCAGGATCATCGGAGAGCTCTTTAGCTTTAAGGCGAAGGATCAATCCACTCACCGCAATACCTACGAAAAATAAAATAACAATCTTATTTTGCTGCGAGATAACCGTAGATTCGTGACTGCAGCACTCTTTTCGTGACATGTTATGAAATTGTCATGACAACAACATATTTCTGACCAATCAAAGTCTCTGTTTCCCACGCACTGAAAGACGATATCATTCAACTCTTCAAAAACTCTTAAAATTTTAGACAGAAAAGTAAATACCAACCTTGTTCTCTTTGCTGTGAAAACCACTCCATCACTTGCTGGTCTAGTTCGGGATATTTCGGAGTGAAACGGCCCATCGTCGCACGTTTTGCAGACATCTTCAGCTCTCCGGAAAGAATAGTCGCCTGGTCTCTTCTCCAGCGTCGTACCATGGACTCGCTTAGTCCATATTCTCGAGCGATTTCCGAGTTGTTTTCTACCGCTTCAGCTTCCGCGATAACTTTTATCTTGAAAGCCATACTATACGAGGAACGGCGTGCTTTAGGCATGATGATAAAAAGTGACAGCGACGAAAGGTATACTCGATAGATTGATACTTTGAAACGTTTAACTGAGATTATTATTGTTGTTGTGGTTAATCTGTTGTCGCGTGGTAGTATTTATACAGTTCGTTGGATCAATTGATATTCATATCTCTTGATTGGTTCGCTTTTTTTCTTTTGTGTTTATTGTAATTCATTAGGTTTTGTGTTTAGTGAGTCAATTTCTTATGTTTTCCGTGAGGTTCGCTTGCTCAAATGGCCAGTTACAATCAATAATTTCGCTCTCGGCTTATAGCCGATGGTTTTACCTTTTTTTTTGGGCAGCTTGAGTGTAGCGTAAAGACCCTGAAAGTCAGGGTCTCGGCTTATAGCCGAGATCGGCTTATAGGTGAAGAAATACGGTACATGTACATCCACAGGGAAATGCACTTTTTAAGAAGGGTAAATATGAAGCAGCCATTAACTGCTACACAACTGGAATTCAGTTTGACGCAACAAATGCTGTACTCCCAGCCAACAGAGCAATGTGTCTTCTAAAATTGAAAAGGTTAGTCTTTCCTCTCAAAATATTTGTTTTGTTTGTTTTTTTAAAGTGATATGAACTGAGATACCATAAGGTCACCTACCGTACATGAGGCAACAGTGACACTGATACTAATGATGACCTCGACAGTGACAGAAACAGTGACAGTGATAATGATGGTGAGGATGACGATAGTGATAGAGTAATGATAAAAATTAGATTAGAAAATTAACATAAAGGAAAAAAGCAAAACAAATTTTTTTTAAACCCGATCCCTATCCCTAAGAGTGTACATTCTACAAATGGTGTTCTTCTTGTCCAACTCTACACCTTACTTATTATAATTTATGTTCAGAGGTACTAAGGCGTACTGACAGAGCTTACATTCTACAAATGGTGTTCTTCCTGTTCGACTATCAAACCTTTTTTTTATAATTATAATTCATGTTTAGATATGGAGCTGCTGAAGCAGACTGTAGCCAAGCCTTGTCTCTGGATGCTTCATACACTAAGGCTTATCTGAGAAGAGCAGCAGCACACTTTCAGCTTGGAATGATAGAAGAGGCAGAGGCTGACTATGAAGATGTACTGAGACTGGAACCCAGCAATAAGCAGGCTCAATAGGAATTGAAAAACATAGAGAAGGTAATGTACTCTTGGTTACTTTATTTTTATATTCCCTCATGAGCGCGGCATGGGATACATGACGGTTGCAACTCTGTCATTTTATCCCAAATCTGTGTGTCCAGTTGGTGTATATAACTTGTACTTACTGTATACAGAAGTGTACATAGTCGTTCTTATTAAGTTTTTCACCTGGATATGGTTTGAAGATTCTTTGTTCCACCAGGCAAGACACTCGATGTCATAGATGCTTAGATGCACTTGACTACTCGGATACAACTGGATCAGGAGAATGCATAAAGTAAGTTTAAAATTGAACTAAACTTCACATTTTTATCGAGTTGATATGCAAAATATTGACAGTCACACTAGCCATGTAGCTAAAAGTTGAACACCAATTGTATTATAACTCATTATTTTGTTTAAGACACTGACGTTGAAAACTAACTTTTACTTATTATCCATCTTTTCCATATATATTTAATCGTTTACTGTTATTGGAATATTTCTATTTATTCCTCTATCATAACTTTCCCGGCCTATCGATATTTGAAAACTTATCAGGTTGTAAGAAACCTACGATATAAAAATGTAAAGGCATTGCACCACTTCGACGTATAACTTTTTGCTTCGAGGTCTTGCTCTCAGGGAATTAGATAGACTGAGTCAAAAGAGACATCTTTGCTGAACACACCCAGCAAAGATATCTCTGTTGACTCGGTCTATCTCTTTCCCCATCACTCTTTTCTCTATCACGACAGATAGATTCATGGGGGAGGATGAGAACCAGTTTTTAACAAGTATTACCTGTTTTTTTTTTTTTTTTAAGCGTACCAACTTTTAGCTAAATATGAGCTAGGACAATTTTTAAATGGCATGGCATTGTTGATAATCATCTCACTCACACCATAAAAAAAGAAAAAAAACATAAAAACTGTTTTTGTTTCCTTCCATTCAAGGTGTGACAGTTATTCGAATTGTGTGCATGGTAATGCGAAAAAGATCCAAAATAAACACTTGGAGATTTGGATTCCTGTAGTGGCCATAGTGGTTATGGTAGTTCCTTTAATTGTAACTTACAAGTGTTACACGAGAAAGCGAGAAATAACCAGAACAGCTACTGATGTCAATCACAAGACTTCTGATAACTCACATGAAAATTGTTTTTTGCTCGAGCCACAAGGTAAGTCATAAACATTTAAGTACTATATAATTTGAAATAAGCCCCGCACGATCTTAGAGAAGAAATTCTTGCCAATCTTAAAATCCAATTTTTTAACTCAAAAAGTTTTGTCAGTACCCACATTTTACTTGAATGTATAATTCTACCGGACTCACTTTGGCAAATCAATTTAATCTGCACTGAAATTACAGATTGTGAAGCACTGACATTAAACCACCGCCCTAACATTACATCCACCACAAAAAAATTTGAATAACAACAGAAATGATACAAATACAAGACGTACATGTACGTGTGAAAGTCATGATCAGTATCGTTCTTCATGACAAAAACTTGTCAACCAATAATTCATTGCCGCATTAAAAGTGATAAGATATTACTACAATTGCAACTTTTCTATATAAGGGTTGGATCGTTATGTAAGGGACCTTCGCACTCGTGAAAGGAAAAACGTTCTTCGGGAGCTCGGAGGCAAAGACAATTGTGGTAAGCAAGCTTTTATTTTAACCTTGTTGAAACTTTTAAAAGAGGCTAATCAATGGAAACCTCCACTGGCCTGCTTGTGGTGCAAATCGTTGTTAAACTATCAAAAAATGATCATGAAAGTTCGAATCGGGCATAGACTGATTGGCAGACTTGTTGACTTTTCGAAGTCACTTGTTTTAGGGTATTTTCGGTGGCATGCTGTTGTGGAGAAACTTGATTATCCTGATTTGGAGCTTGAATCCTGAGGATGGGAAGCATCAGACAACGTAAATATCGACAAATTTCTCACTAAATATGGTAAAAGAGAGGGAAGCACGATTAGGAGATTGGTGAAAGCCATCAGAGAAGCTGGGTACCAGGTTTCCGTCAACAAATTCGAACAAAAAATTGATCAAGATCCGCAAGGTAAAGAAAGTTGA